TATAAGATAATATAACGCTTAGAAGATATTATAACGCTAAGAAGATAATATAATGCTTAGAAGATAATATAACGCTTAGAAGATAATATAATGCTTAGAAGAGAATATAATGCTTAGACGATAATATAACGCTTAGAAGATATTATAACGCTTAGAAGATAATATAATGCTTAGAAGAGAATATAATGCTTAGAAGATAATATAACGCTTAGAAGATATTATAACGCTTAGAAGATAATATAATGCTTAGAAGATAATATAATGCTTAGAAGAGAATATAATGCTCAGACGATAATATAACGCTTAGAAGATATTATAACGCTTAGAAGATAATATAATGCTTAGAAGAGAATATAATGCTTAGACGATAATATAACGCTTAGAAGATATTATAACGCTTAGAAGATAATATAATGCTTAGAAGATAATATAACGCTTAGAAGATAATATAATGCTTAGAAGATAATATAATGCTTAGAAGATAATATAACGCTTAGAAGATAATATAATGCTTAGAAGATAATATAACGCTTAGAAGATAATATAACGCTTAGAAGATAATATAATGTTTAGAAGACAATATAACGCTTAGAAGATAATATAATGCTTAGAAGATAATATAACGTTTAGAAGATAATATAATGCTTAGAAGATAATATAATGCTTAGAAGATAATATAACGCTTAGAAGATAATATAACGCTTAGAAGATAATATAATGCTTAGAAGATAATATAACGCTTAGAAGATAATATAATGCTTAGAAGATAATATAACGCTTAGAAGATAATATAACGCTTAGAAGATAATATAATGCTTAGAAGATAATATAACGTTTAGAAGATAATATAATGCTTAGAAGATAATATAATGCTTAGAAGATAATATAACGCTTAGAAGATAATATAATGCTTAGAAGATAATATAACGCTTAGAAGATAATATAACGCTTAGAAGATAATATAATGCTTAGAAGACAATATAACGCTTAGAAGATAATATAATGCTTAGAAGATAATATATAACGTTTAGAAGATAATATAATGCTTAGAAGATAATATAATGCTTAGAAGATAATATAACGCTTAGAAGATAATATAACGCTTAGAAGATAATATAATGCTTAGAAGATAATATAACGCTTAGAAGATAATATAATGCTTAGAAGATAATATAACGCTTAGAAGATAATATAACGCTTAGAAGATAATATAATGCTTAGAAGATAATATAACGTTTAGAAGATAATATAATGCTTAGAAGATAATATAATGCTTAGAAGATAATATAACGCTTAGAAGATAATATAACGCTTAGAAGATAATATAATGCTTAGAAGATAATATAACGCTTAGAAGATAATATAACGCTTAGAAGATAATATAATGCTTAGAAGATAATATAACGCTTAGAAGATAATATAATGCTTAGAAGATAATATAACGCTTAGAAGATAATATAATGCTTAGAAGATAATATAACGCTTAGAAGATAATATAACGCTTAGAAGATAATATAACGCTTAGAAGATAATATAACGCTTAGAAGATAATATAACGCTTAGAAGATAATATAATGCTTAGAAGATAATATAACGCTTAGAAGATAAATATAACGCTTAGAAGATAATATAATGCTTAGAAGATAATATAACGCTTAGAAGATAATATAATGCTTAGAAGATAATATAACGTTTAGAAGATAATATAATGCTTAGAAGATAATATAACGCTTAGAAGATAATATAATGCTTAGAAGATAATATAACGCTTAGAAGATAATATAACGCTTAGAAGATAAATATAACGCTTAGAAGATAATATAATGCTTAGAAGATAATATAACGCTTAGAAGATAATATAATGCTTAGAAGATAATATAACGCTTAGAAGATAATATAACGCTTAGAAGATAATATAATGCTTAGAAGATAATATAATGCTTAGAAGATAATATAACGCTTAGAAGATAATATAATGCTTAGAAGATAATATAACGCTTAGAAGATAATATAACGCTTAGAAGATAATATAACGCTTAGAAGATAATATAATGCTTAGAAGATAATATAACGCTTAGAAGATAATATAACGTTTAGAAGATAATATAATGCTTAGAAGATAATATAATGCTTAGAAGATAATATAACGCTTAGAAGATAATATAACGCTTAGAAGATAATATAATGCTTAGAAGATAATATAACGCTTAGAAGATAATAAAAATGCTTAGAAGATAATATAACGTTTAGAAGATAATATAATGCTTAGAAGATAATATAACGCTTAGAAGATAATATAATGCTTAGAAGATAATATAACGCTTAGAAGATAATATAATGCTTAGAAGATAATATAATGCTTAGAAGATAATATAACGCTTAGAAGATAATATAATGCTTAGAAGATAATATAACGCTTAGAAGATAATATAATGCTTAGAAGATAATATAACGCTTAGAAGATAATATAATGCTTAGAAGATAATATAATGCTTAGAAG